GAGTCAGTGAGGTAATTGAAGTAAACAACTGTGCCACCCAGGTGCTCTGAATACTTTTTGTTTTTATTATTCAACTATTAAAACAAAATACCTAGTTTTTTGTTTTACCTAAAAATACCTAAAAGTAAGCAAGCATAATCCTTAAAAGAAAAGCAAAGAGATTGTTTGCTTAGAGAACAGGTAATTTGCTGATGCTGGAAGGTTTCCTCTCTTTCTTGTACTTTCCTTTACACCATGTACAGTAACTGATTGGAGTCACACAGCTTGATATTATATATTGTACAGTCATATTTTAAAACCTCACCTGTGCAGAATGATACATTGCAATGACCCTCTGACATATACAAAACTCCATGGAACTCAAATGTCATTTGTCACTAACAAACCATTTTTTTACAGGTGTGGGCAGCTGTATCTGAAGCAAAGCATCAGCCACCATCAGATTTTCTTTGGAGAGAACAAAACAAGTTTAGAACAAGCCCAAACTGTACAACGATTTTGTGCAAACCTAATGGTGAAGTCAGTGTCCTATTCTTAACAATGGGTTTTGAAAGAAGAATGGATAGCTGTCCTTATGTTCTCCTTCTCCTCTTAGCTGACTCAAGTATTTTCCATCCTTATTAGCTTAGATAAAACCATCACTAACTGCAATAACATGTCAGGCAAATCAACAGCACCCTGTTCCCAGGGCCCAAGTGCCAAAGAGCTACTTATAATTTGGCAAAAATAATTTTCATGACCAATATTTCTAAGAAGTTACTTTAAATTCCAGAGTCAAGGATGGATTTTATTTATGATATTTAGGTTGAAGAGTGGAATAATAAAGGAGTGTACTACGTAGACATCTTTTCTATTCCTTTGTGCACTTCTCAATTATTTGTTGAGATTATTCTCTATTCCAATGGCTATAATATATGCTGATAATATAATGTAGAATAGGACATGATATCTGCTCTTAAGAGACTATTATCGAAAAGATCTATAGTCTAATTTGTAACAACTATACATTATTCACTATAAAATTAAGTGTATTAGTAATTATTTTGGATAACTCATTCCCAGTATTTGACAATTTTATAGTTTCATTCTATCTTTTCCTTAGCATAATAGTAGCATAAATAGATGCCCAAAGACACACTAATAAAGTTGAAAGATATCTTTGTTTACAACAAAAAGTTATTCCTTTTTCAAAGCCATTCTTTTGATTTTTCTTGAATACCTGCCCTTTATTTTCTTACCTCTAGTCTTACTTACTATGTCCTATAACTACTAATCCAGATAATATGTTGATTGGAATCTATCTTTCTGATTGTCTTGCTTGCTACATTATACCTCGTGCTTCATTTGACTTTTCCTTTAGAGTAGACTTGCTAATTTATTAAGAGCCATTTAATGTCTTTCTGTAAGAACAGTAGTTGTCATTAGAACACTCGTTAGATGTAATTTTGAGGCCTTTACTCACCTTTAGATCTTTTAGTGGGCTCAAGATGAATTTTATAATACTTCTAATGATTTTCACTGTTGGGAAAAATAAGGTGATATAATCTAAATTATTTACTCAGGCTCATAAAAAATCATTGGCAAAACTAAGATTAAGGCATTCTTATTTCAGACTTTTCATCACATTTATCCATGCATTTATTCACGTTCGGGGTTTCTACTTTGTATACACACTGTTCCCAGGCACTGTATGTTGAACCAGACAGACAAGATCCCTAAGCTCCTGGAATGCCCATTTGAGTAAGTTGTCATTCCCTGGAACAGGATTAGTCTTTGTACTTATACTACACTTTTTACTCTGGTTTGAACTACTTTGCACATAAAGGATCGGATTATTTTTGCAGGGTGGTGTAAACATAAGTAATTTTATTTGCTAGTAAAAGAGTGAAACTGACCAATTAATTCATATGGGGAAAATTTACATATGTTTAGTATCTGCCAAGCATTATGCTAGGTGCTGGAGGGAAAAGAGCACAACTATTGCATGGTTTCTCTCTTCAGGAAACTCAGAGTCTAGTTAGTTCCTTAATAGTTCCAGCTAGGATTCTAGCTCAAAAAAATGTGGTTTCCTCTCCATGTCTCTAGTTCTACTGCCCATTTCTCCATTTCAAATAAGACCTATATATACACATGCACATATGTGTAATATCTTAAATATTTAAATTTTAATGATAACATTACAACTACTTTTTGCATAGTTCTTCAAAGTTATGAATTTTAGTAGTTTAGCCAAATCTCACAACACCCTCATACAGCAATTCCCTACTATCACCCTCCCCTTTTCACATATGAGGACACAGTCCAAGACAGTAAATGACTAATCTGCCTGAGGTTATGCCCCTTACAATTTTTGAAACTGGAAACTAAGTCCAGGATGTCTTACTCCTCATTGTGTTCCTAATTCACACACAGTAGGTAAGTGACATTAAACTGTTTGACTTCGAAATGTTATTGCAATAAGCCTATGACATTTAAAAAATCTACCTAACTGCATTGGTATTTGATACTAATGAATCATTTTTGTTAGGCTGTTGCCTGGTACACTCCTATTCACTGGAAGCAAGCGTGGGAGAAATTAGAGACTGACATTGAATTTGACAGACGCTCAGTTGTAAGTCCAACATCTCAAAGACACATGTTTAGTTGGCCAGCAGCTATAACTACAACTAAAGAAAAACAAGATAAATGTAATAAAGATAATTCAAAATGTCAGATGGAGCAAGTTAAAGTTTTTCTTAAAAGGTAAAATTTACTTGGCTTTTTTTTTTTTTAATTGAGTCCTTCCCACAATTAGTAACTGAAGAAGTAAGAATGACTAGGTGACAAATAGATATATGATGAATAGGTAATTCAAATAAAAAAATCCTACTTCAAATAGGACCATACTTTTTGTGTTTTATGAAAAACAGAGCAAGCAGGGTTATTGTCATGGGACAGTAGAGGCTGGTGACTTCCACTAGGCAATATCAACACCCCTCTGGCCATTTCACTTCTTAGTGGCACTGCTGTTAGAGGCAGGGTTATGGAGAGGTGAAGAGAGAAAATTATCACCTTGTCTTTAGCAGTGCTTAGGTGGAGGAAGACGTGCATTATCTAGAAATTTCATCTTGGATCAAGAGCTGGCTTGCAGCATAAAGTGCAGAATTTATGTCACACTTATCTAGGCAAATACTTCTGATGTTGACAAAAGTGCTGTTCAAAAGTCAAGAAAAGCCATATTCTCTCGTCTTAAAACATGCTTTCACTTTTATTGAACCTTCATTGCTAATTCCACTATATAAGATACATTTTGGGTTTACTTTTGGCTTAATTTTTTTTTTCCTTAACAGAGAAATTGAAAACCGACCAAGCCCCTTTCCCAATAGCAGCCCTTGGTGCCACAGTCCCAGTGCCCCTGCACACCCTTACAGTCCTCTGATTGAAACTTGCAGTACGTGCGTGGCTGGAAACGGCTTAGACAGACAGCCAAGGCCTCAGTCATCCCGGCCTGATCCAGCCCAGGTAAATCAAAGGGATACTCAATCCAGTGGAGAGTTAAGGGATTGGTGGGGGGGGGGGTGAGGAAGGACAAGAGAGTAGGAGGGAGTGAAGGAGGGAGATCTGGTGAAATGGATTAAGTGGTTAAATTCTCTAAGAACTAAAAGCTATTCATATCTTCAAATATAGATGGCTTTTAAAGCAAATATCTGAAATCATTCACTTACATTTGCTTTAGCATAGTGTCTTCTACTGTTCTTGGTAAGTATCTGTGGAATGAATCAATGAATCAAAAGAATAGTGTGGCAAGCAAGAGTACATAGGATCCTTGAAGTCTGGTCAAAAGTACATCAAAAACTAATTATGTACTATACAGTGGCTAACAACATAATTTTTAAAAAGTAATTTGTTTTTTATTAGGCAGGAAAAACTGTCCCTACAAAGTTATGCTGTCCTTAAAGATAAATCCGTCTTTTCCAAACACATTCTAATTTAATCCCAAATTCTTACTCTTTTTCAACAAGAAGTTTCTTATTTAAGTCATCTAAGGTTCTCAGAGTTGTGTTATTAAGCCAGGATCTGTGAATGGATTTCAGGAAGTCCCTAAACTGCTGTTTTAGGTACATAAATGTGTACAAAATGTGTACCTATATGCTACTTCCTGGGGAAAGAGTTCATGAGGTTCATCAGGTGCCCCCCAAATGTTTACAAGATACTAATTAAAACACAGTGTGAGATTCTAAGCTGTGGAGAAAGTCTGTTTCATACAGGTGCTATATCCTGTTCAAGCTATAATGATTTGCAAACTTTTATTTAGTAAAGGGATGCTTTTTTAAATAACATCTTGGACAGACCCAATATATAGAACAGATATAAGCAAGCCTGTCCAAGTTGAAGGAAGGGTAGCAATTCTCACTCCTCACTACACCCTTTTTCCATCCCGTCTTTCCTTGCTTCATCCCTCCCTCCTTCCCTGTGATCTTTGAGGCACCTCTCTGGAATCATAAAATTCTATACCACAGTATGAAAACCACTGTGTAAGTAGACCAACACATAATTGGAGGTGCACTCCCAAAATAGTAACTTTTAGAAGTGAAATGTTGAAAATGATGTAAAGTCCTGAATATATTCTATTTCATAAAATTAAATACCCTATATCTTTGTGCTTTAGTTTCTTCATCTGTCAAGTAAGAGATTTGGCCTGAAATTTAAAGAGTTCTTTCAGCAATAATTTATATGTATAATCTTATGTATAATACACACAGATACACACCTTTAGTACATTACAACTTAGATTTGAGACTCACAAGAAGTATGTGAATTGTTTTTCCTCATTTAATGATAGTTTTCGCTATTTTACCCATTCTAAACAACTTGTTTCCCAAAGAAATTTGACTTCAAATTTTCTTTTTCTTAATTTTTTTATTCAACTACAATTAACATAAAGTGTTTTATTAGTTTCAGATGTATAAAATAATTATTTAAGTATCTGTGCGTTACTCAGTGCCCAACATGATAAATGTACTCATAATCCCCCTCACCTTTTTCTTCCATCCCTCCCCCAACAACCTCCTCCTTGGCAACCAATGGTTGGTTCTCTAAATTTAAGAGTCTGTTTATGAACAGACATTACCCTAACGAAGACATACAGATAGGCAGCATGAAAAGATGCTCAACTTCACTCATCATCAGGGAAATGCATATCAAAACCACAAAGAGATATCACTGCATACCTGTCAGAATGTCTAAAATCAAAATTCAAGAAACAGGATCCTTTTGTAGTTCATAAGCGTGATGATTGGGTGTTCACGCGTCTGTGTGATATGTGCCACCCTTTAAACCTTGTTACGACCTCGGCACATTACCCATCTGACGTGAAAAAAAAAAAGAAAAAATCAAGAAACAAGTGTTGGCAAGGATGTGAAAAAAAAAGGAACAAAACAAATGAAAAAAGGGGAAAAGGACAAGCTGAGAAACAGACTCTTAACTATAGAGAACTAACAGATGGTTACCAGAGGGAAGTTGGATGGGGGGATGGGTGAAATTGGTAAAGGAGATTAAGACTACATTTACCTGGATAAACACTGAGTAATATATTGAACTACTGAATCACTATATGGTACATCTGAAACTAATACCACACTGTATGTTAACTATACTGGTATTATAATAATTTTTAAAGCTTCTTTTTGTCTCTTTTATTCTTTGTTCACATGTTTTATTTCTTAAATTGTACTTATGAATAAAATCATATGATATTTATCTTTCTCTGACAGACTTATTTCACTTAACATTATATCCTCTAGATACATCCATGTTGTTGCAAATGGTCAGATGTCATCCATTTTTAAGGTTGAATAATATTCCATTATACACACACACACAAACACACACACACACACATACCGCTTCTTTATTTAATCATCTATGGGTGGACACTTGGGTTGCTTCCATATCTTGGCTACTGTAAAAAATGCTACAGTAAACATAGGGGTGCATATCTCTTTTAATTAGTTTTTTCATTTTATTTGGGCAAATATCCAGTAGTGAAATTACTGGATCATATGGTAATTCTATTTTTGAGGAACTTCCATACTGTTTTCCACAGCAGCTGCACCAATTTGCATCCCCACCAACAGTGCACAAGTGTTCCTTTTTCTCCACATCTTCACCAACACTTGTTATTTTTTGTCTTTTTTATTTTAGCCATTCTGACAGATGTAAGGTGACATTTCATTGTGGATTTTATTTTGCATTTCCCTGATAATGAGTCATATTGAGCATCTTTTCATGTGTCTAATGGCCATCTGTATGTCTTCTTTGGAAAAATATCTTTTCCGGTCCCCTGTCCATTTCTCAATTGGATTATTTGTTCCTTTCGTGTTCAATTGTATCAGGTTTTTTGTTGTTGTTGTTGTTGTTGTTGTTTGTATTTAAGTTCCAGTTAGTTAACATACAGTGTAATATTAGTGTCGTGTAGAATTTAGTGATTCATCACTTATTCATAAAACCCAGTGCTCATCACAGCAAGTGCCCTCCTTAGTACCCAACACCCATTTAACTCATTCCCCTGACACCTCCCTTCCAATAACCATCAGTTTGTTCTCTATAGTTTAGAGTCCATTTTCCAGTTTGCCTCTCTTTTTTCCCTTATGCTCATCTGTTTTGTTTCTTAAATTCCACATATGAGTGAAATCACTTATTTCACTTAGCATTACACTCTCTATCTCCATCCACATCTTTGCAAATGGTCAGATTTTATTATTTTTATGGCTGAGTAATATTTGATTGCATATATAAACAACTTCTTTATCCACTCATCAGTCAATGGGCATTTGAGCTCTTTCCATTTTTTGGCTATTGTTGATAACGCTGCTATAAACATCAGGGTGCATGTATCCCTTCAAATCAGTATTTTTGTATCCCTTGGTAAATACTCAGTAGAGCAGTTGTGGAATGTAACGTAGTTCATTTTTAGCTTTGTAAGGAAACTCCATACTGTTTTCCAGAGTAGCTGCACAAGTTTGCATTCCCACCAACAGTGTAAGAGGATTCCCCTTTCTCCGCATCCTTGCTAACACGTGTTGTTTCCTATGTAGTTAATTTTAGTCACTTTGGTGGGTGTGAGGTGATGTCTCATTGTAGTTTTGATTTGTATTCCCCTGATGCTGAGGGATGTTGAGTATCTTTTCATGTGTCTGCTAGCTATCTGTATGTCTTCTTTGGGAAAATATCTATTCATGTCTTCTGCCCATTTTTTTTAAACTGGATTGTTATTTTTTTGGGTGTTGAGTTTTAGAAGTTCTTATGGATTTTGGATACCCTTTATCAGGTAAGTAAGGTGTTAAAGTCCTTTACTATAATTGTATCACTATCAGTTGCTTCCTTTATGTGTATTATTAGGTGCTCTGTGTATTTGACTGTTCTCATGTTGGTGTGTAAGTATTTACAATTGTTATATCTTCTTGTCAGATTATTCCCTTTACAATTACATAGTGTCTTCCTTTGTCTGTTGTTATGGTCTTTGTTTTAAAGGTGATTTTTTCTGATATGTATTGCTCCCCCAGATGTCTTTTCACCTCCATTTGCGTAATAAATGCTTTTTCAATCCCTTCACTTTCAATCTGCATGTGTCTTTAAGGTCTGAAATGAGTCTCTTGTAGGCAGCATATAAATAGGTCTTGCTTTTTATCCATACCGTCACTCTATATAGTCTTTTGACTAGAGCATTTAGTCCATTTACATTCAGAGTGACTAGTGATATGTATGTGTACTTATTGCCATTTTGTTACTTGTTTTATGGTTGTTTTGTAATTATCTCTTCCCTTCTTCTCTTTCTCTCTTCTCTCACATTTTTCTGTTTTCTTAGTGATATGCTTGGACTCCTTTCTCTTTATTTTTTCCAAATTTATGAGTGGGTTTTGATTTGTGGTTACTATTAGGTTTATATATACCATCTTATACATATAGCAGTTTATATTAAATTGATGGTGGCTTAATTCTCAACACATTCTTTAGTCCTTCCCCTAACATACTTTAGGTATATAGTGTTATATTTTCCATCCTTTTATTTTGTTAATCCCTTATCTGATCTTTATAGATATACTTCATTTTACTGCTTTTGAGCTTTCTTTTGTGTTGCTCCCTGAGAAGGTTTTCCTGGTGGTCAGGGCCTGTAGTTAGGCCTGATATTTAACCCCAGCCCACTGTGGGGATTCATTTGGAGTGGTTTCTCTCATTATCCTTCTCTCTCCAGTAAGAGTCACACTGCAGTGGTCCTGGTCCCTGTTGGGGCTGTTTGTACCATTTTGGATGGGCTCTAGCCAAAGGCATATTGAAGGAAGGAAGTCCACAGGAAAACATGGGGGTGAACTGATGTGCTGGCAAGGGTCATGCTGGTCTGCTGTGGGATAGCCCTTGCAGCCACCCAGGAAAACTGCCAAAGCTCTCCAGGTTGAAGGGGGTAGATCCAAAGAAGTTCACAGGAGACTGACATGCAATGTTCACAAGGTTGTCTCTGCTAT